AGTCATTGATAGTAAACATTAGTTGAATGAATGGATGAAATGGTTTAGATACAGTCAATAGATCTTTCCCACCCTTGGTAAACCATTAAAAAAGGGAGGGGGGAAGAATTAATATTTATTCAGTATGTAATATACTGTTGTTAGGTTCTTTCGAGTTGATTCTAACTCATGGAGCTCTTCTGTAAGACAGAATGAATCCCATTCTTCATAATGTTATTTATAATTTGTTACAATAGATAACTGTTCAGTCCTGTGCCATCCTCACAATTGTTTATATATTTGAGTCCATTGTAACAACCACTGTGCCAGTCCATCTCTTTGAGGGTCTGTCTTCCTGACCCTCTACTTTATCAAGCATGATGTCCTTCTCTAGGGACTAGTACAGAGACCAATTTCTCCATCCTTGCTTCTAAGAAGCATTCTGGCTGTACTTTTTCCAGCACAGGTTGGTTTGTTCTTCTGGCAATCCATTTAGTGTTCATCACCAACACTATAATTCAAAGGCATATGTTCATTCTTCTTTGGTCTTCCTTTTTCATTATCCAGCTTTCACATGCATGCATATGAGGTGATTGAAAGTATCATGGCTTTGAGTTCTTTAAAGTTTAGTTCTGAAAGCAACATCTTTGATTTTTAACACTTTAGAGGTCTTTCACAGCAGCTTTTCCCAGTGCAATATGTTTGTTTTGGTGACTATTATTTTGATGGTCACTGATTGTGGATCCAAGTAAAATGAAATCTTTGACATCGCCAATCTTTTCTCACTTTATCATGATGTTGTTAATTGGTCCAGTTGTGAGGATTTTATTTATTTATTATTTTTTATTAAGCTCTAATCCATGCTGAAGGTTATAGTCCTTGATCTTAATTAGTAAATACTTCAAGTCATCTTTGCTTTCAGTAAGCAAGATTTTGTCATATAGCTATTACAGGTTGTTAATGAGACTTCCTCCACATTCTTCTTTATATAGTCCATCTTCTCAGAATATTTGCTCAGCATACAAATTGAATTAGTATGGTGAAAGGACACAACCCTCATACACAGTTTTCCTGATTTCAAACCGTACTTTGTTCCCAATGTCTCCTCTTGTTCTATTTGAATGACTGCCTATGTACAGGTTCCACATGAGTGCAATGAATTGTTTTGGAAATCCCATTATTCATAATGTTATCTATAATTTGTTATGATCCACATAGTTGAATGCCTTTGCATAGTCAATAAAACACAGGTAAACATTTTTCTGGCCCTATTGGCATCGTTGTTAAACTCTTGGCTGCCAACTGAAAGATCTACAGTTCTAAACCACCAGTTGCTACATGAGACAAGATGTAGCAGTCTGTTTCTATAAGGATTACAGCCTTGGAAACCCTATGGGCCAGTTCTACTCTGTCTTATATGATTGCTATGAGTTGACATTGAGTTCACAGCAAGGTCATTTACTAGGGCCTTTATGTATGTCTCTTCCTTTGGATTTCATGTGATATCTGTCATATGGGGAGAGGGTATCATGCCACTGGAGAAAAAACACCTCTACCTGCCCTTAACCAAAGCTTACCTTCTTCAGAACTCACAGCTACTCAGTTCTCAAAAGGATGCAAGATCTAAATTTAGTCAGCGGGCTAGAAGAGGAAGTTGTGCAAACTAAAGGATAACCTTCTAATCAGTCAAATGAATAAATGACCAAATGAAGGTGAAGAATAAATACCAAAATAAAACAGTGGGTTAGGAGAGACAGAATAACTCTAAAGAAGAAGAGAAGATGATACCCTAATACTTTAGTTATCTACCAGAAATGGAGAAATCCATCAAGCACTGACCAGAACATTTCCCTCCTTAGTCCCATGTTCTGTTTTCATTTTGTCCAAGCACAAATTCCTGAACCAGAAACTCAGGATTGTTTAACCCATCAGAACATTTGAAAAAGAAAAAAACAAAAACTGGTCCTTTTAAGACTTAAAAAAAAGCACAGTGTTTCCTTAGAACTCAAGGATCCAATGGAGGTAAGAACTAGGTGAAATAAAAAGAGAATACAGTGAAGAGAATGAAAACACAAGCCACAATCAGGGAGAAAACACTGGAAAAACACTTACATGATAAAGAACTTGTATCTAAAATACACAGAGAACTCTTAAAACTCAATAATAAGAAAACAAATACCCCAATTAAAAAATGGATAGAAGATCTGAACAGATACCTCATCAAATAAGATATACAGATTGTAAATAAGAATATGAAAGGATGCTCAATATTAGATGTCACTGAGGAACTGAAATTAAAACAGCAATGAGATAACATGGCATATCTATTAGAAAGGCTAATAAAAAAAATACAGCTACACCAAATGCTGACAAGGATGTGGATCAACAGGAAGTCTCATTCACAGTCAGTGGGAATGCAAAATGGTACAGCCACTTTGGAAGAGAGTTGGCAGTTCTTACAAACAGAAGCATAGTCTTACTATATGATCCATCATCCTTGCTCCTTGATAATTAACGAAATGAGTCAAAAATTGTGTTCACACAACAAAACTGCACACAAATGTTTATAGCAGTTTTATCCACAATTGCCAAAAATTGGAAGCAACTAAGATGTTCTTCAATAGGTGAATGGGTAAACAAACTGGTACATCTATACAATGGTGTATTATTCAACAATATAGAGAAATGAGTTATCAAGCCATGAAAAGATGTGGAGGCACATTAATTAAATGCATATTACCACAAGTGAAAGAAGCCAGTCTGAAAATACTACATGATTCTAACTAGATGACAGTCTGGAAAAGGCAAAACTACAGAGAAAGTTTAAAAAAAAAAAAAAGTCAGTAATTATCAGGGACTTGGGAAGATGCAAGGAGAAATGAATAAATAGGTGGAATATGGGATTTTTAGAGCAATAAACTATTCTGCATGATACATGTAATGTAATGGCAGTTACATGACATGATGTACTTGTCAAAACCCATAGAACAGTCCAAGGAGGGAGCCCTAATATAAATTTTGGTGGTGGTGGTGGTGGTGATTACGTTCCATGGAGTCGATATTGACTCATAGCGACTCTGTATAGGGTTTCTGAGGCTGTAAATCTTTATGGGAGCAGAAAGCCTCATCTGTCTTCTGCAGAACCGTTGGTAGTTTTGAGCTGCTGACCTTGAGGTTAGCAGCCTGACTCTTATACAGTCATCAATTGTAATACATGTACCACATTAATGCAAGATATTAATAATAAAGGGAACTGTAGTGAAGAGGAGGGAATATATGGGAGCACGTTATACTTTCTACTCAGTTTTTCTGCAAAGCTAAGGCTTCACTAAAAAATAAAGGCTGTGAATTAATTTTTAAAGAGAGAGAGAATACACCCAGATTCAGAAGACCTGGGTTGGAGTCCTGATTCTGTCAAGGACTGGTTGTGTGACCATATACTTGTTACTGATCCTCTCTAATGTGTGTTTTCCATAACTTATTCATTCAACAAATACTTTCCAAGGTCTTCCTTCCTATGTATAAGCACTGCTCTGAGAACTAGGGATAGGGCAATGAATAAAACAGAGGAGGCTTTGCTCTAATGGAGTTTATGTTCTAGAGAGAGAAACAATGATTAATAAATAAACAGTGCAACTTATACATTGTCAATAGTGCCAAATAAAACATATGATATAGTCTGGGAAGAGAAGTTCTAATATAGAGCATTCTCAGAGAAGGTCTTTCTGAGGCAGTAATATTTGAGTTGAGACTGGAATGTACTAGAAGGAAGTACAATGAATTTTTTTTAAAAGCCAGAAGAAGAGTATTATAGGCAGAGGGACCAGCAAACTCTGAGGTCGGACCACATTTGGGGGCTGGATGACAATCAAGGAAAGTAACACTGGGTATGTAATTATACTGGTTTTGTGGTTTTGACACAGTACTCTAAGTAATCCAAGAAGTTCCCTGGTGGTGTCTCAAGCAGCTGCCAGAGGTGGAGAGACAGATGGAGCTCTGGCAGGCTCCTACCACCCTGTCCAATACACATTCACCCTCCCCACCTCCACATACAGATACCCCACCCCACCACACACACACATTGCACTTTAACAAATGCACCTCATTTTATATCTGAGGTATATCCTGGGTTGTGCTTAAGATTTCATTTGAAGAACAGGTTTGATGACCAAAATTGTTGGTCTCAAAAATCCTTTTCCATTCTTAAAATTTCCAACGGAATGAGAATTTATCATACAACATTTGTGATTGTTCTTACAGAAAGGCCAATTTTACTCTATTCAATTGACAGAGATGTATGTGGAGTGCTGACTCCAATGGCCTGACTCTCTTCTCACCACAACATTCCATTCCCTCCCCCTACAGTGGAGAATTGGAACCTCGGAGAGGAGTTTGATGCCATCCAAGCCATCTCAGGTAGGGAAGGACACACATTTCTGTCTCTTCCTAGCAGAATGTACGAATTTAGTTTCCCTGGATTGTCCGAATGAGACGCTTTCTGTCCTACATAGGAGAGCTTTGTGGAGACAGTCGAGGAATGGCTTGTGTTTTCCAACCTATAAAATGCAAAGTTGGCTAGCTGCCTGTCTTTTGAGTTTAAACTCATATCTTTCTTTGTCTCTAGAGAACTACCCGTCAGTTCTCAAATAAGTCTCTACTGTCCTGGGGTTTGGGAAACGGCACTGTGCAGAATGTGAAATCATTTTCTGGTAACACAGATCTAATTAGCTATTTGACTGACACAAGGAAGCAGAGGCCAAGAGGGATTTAAACAATCTGCTTCTCACATATTTCCAGACAAGTAAAGAACCAGACAGGGAAATGGAGAGAAAAAGAGAACAGAGACTATGCCTGGGCAAGGCAGGATAAGGGAGAGTATGGAGAAAGGGAACTAGTGAGAATAGTAGTGGGTGAGAGAAAGACAGAGAGTGACTATCAAGTGACCAAAGTCTGAAACCATTCTTTCTCCAACTTTGTCTGCTCCCCAATTTCCCCTCTCCTCTCTCTCAGAGATAACTTACTTGAAGATCAATGATTTCTCTTTCTGATTCCATCCTGCTGCCCTTAAGCTCCTTCACACCGGTGCTGGTAACAGACAGCGTGGGCTACTCCAGACGTTGCTGTCTGAGTCTCTGCTGCTTTCTTTGGGTGGGAGAGAGCACACAGCTGTCAGGACAGACCTGCTATTCATCCATCTGATGTGGGATGCCCGTCTTGGCCTCAGCTTCTGGGGGAAGGGTACACATACACACAGATGCAAGTGTGTGTGTGTGTGCACATGTGTGTGTTTGGGGATATGTGGTACATTTAGAGGTGGCCTTTTATGTTGGTAGTAACAGCATCCTTTTCTCCTGTGGCTCTAATGTCCCTCCAGTCCCAGCAGAGTCATTTGAGGTCATTAAGCCAGCTTAAAACCAATAGCTTTCTTACTGGCAAAGAAATTCTGAGAATTTATCAAAGAAAAAAAAAAAACAGTAGCCTAACAATGTTGTCTAACTTTTCCTTGGTGAAGCTGAGTAGAGTTACCAAAGGTAGGGTTGTTGTTAAGTTCCATGGAGTTGATTCCAACTCATAGTGACTCTGTAAAGGGTTTCCGAGGAGCTGCTGGTAGGTTTGAATCACCAATCTTGCAGTTGTAGGATAACAATCCAGTGCTTATCCTACAGTGCCACACCAGGACTCCTTAAAGGTAAGATGGCCTTCAGAAAATTCCCAGAAGTAAGGCTTAGGAGTTCTGTTCTTTCTCGTTTCTTCTATCCTTAAAAGTTAAAAACAAAAAAACAAAAAAAGTATAGCTTAGTCTATTTGGTGTTGTTAAGTGCCATCGAGTCAGTTCCGACTCATAGCGACTTTGTTTAGGGTTTCTGAGGAACAGCTGGTAGGTTTGAACCTCAGACCTTGTGGTTCAGTCCAGTGCTGATCCTACAGCACCACATTTAGGTCCCCCAAAGCATAATGCTTAAGGTTCAATGTGAGCAAACATTGCTTGTGAACAGGTTGGTTGATGCCTTCAGTTTCTCCCTTGATTCGCCAGAGAGAAAGCAGAGTAAAGTTGTACCTTCAAATCTGATTTATGCAAGTTGTTGCATTTTCCTTATTTTTAAAATAAAGCAACCAGGGTGAGGTTTTTTTTAAGGTTTTCTTTCTCCTGTTTACCTTAGAGCCTAAAATGTCTCTCACTTGTTCCTCCAGCCATCTTAGACACAGCTAGTGTGTGTGTAGGTGAAGGTGTGTCTGAGTGTATATGGTTGGGCTCGGGGAGTGGGAAATGTTGACAGGCAACAATCCAGTTCAGAGTTAAAATTGTGGGAGGAGGGGGAGCAACAGTCACAAATTTACTCTCATCACACTCAAATGTGTGAAAAAGAAGGCAATTTATTTCTATTAATCTCTTGCCATCAAGTCTAGTCCAACTCAGAAATCCTATATGGAGTATGTTGTTGTTGTTAAGTTGTTTCCAACTCATAGTGACTCTGTATAGGTTTTCCAGGGAGTGGCTGGTGAGTTTGAATCGCCAATCTTGTGGTTCAAACTGAACTTGTAGTCCAGCGCTTTATCCCATAACACCACACCAGGACTCTGTATAGGGTTTTGGAGGCTATAAATCTTTATGGGAGCAGAAAGACTCATCTTTCTATAAAGAGCTGCTGGTAGGCTTGAACTTCTGAATCTGTGGTTAGTAGTCCAGTGCTTATCCTCTAGCACCACTATCTAAAGTCCTTTTATGTCCCTATCCTGCTGGACAGTGTGTAAGGGAGGCTTGGACAATGGGATGAGGATTGTATTTTAGTCTTATCTAAAAAGCACATGGTTTCAGTAATTTAAATGGCAAGCACTCAGTCTCATTCCATTTTTCAGATTGCCATCCCAGCCTTACCACAGATGATGGCATTAAGATGCCTGGGGGAGGAGCATGGCTTATAGAACACTTGGTGGTGGAGGATGTAGCCTGTGGCTTCTCCATGTCTGCTAGTTTTACAGAGCTTCTGGGCAGGGTGGGGTGGGGCGGAACTTCCCCTGATTTACTGACGATTGAGGAGAGACTAGTCATGACCTGGCTGGCATGATGTCTAATGTTTGTGGTAATCCATGGTCCATTCTGTCTCCCTTACCGACTCTAACTAATCTGGCTTTCATAGTGACGTGAACCATCCTGAGACCTGGCTATGACTTGTGTGTGCTCACCCATTCATTGTTACCAGCTCAGTGGTCCATTCCTCTGACATGATCTCTGCTGGAAATTCTCCTACTGGACCTTCATCTAGCACTAATGGTCCCTGTTGGGCACACAAGAACTGAGAGCCACTGATGGTCATTGGAGAAAGGCAAGCTCAGTCCCTCTTCTGGCAGTCTGCCTTGATGGGTTGCTCCACATTGGTACAGAGACAGCTTTGAGGAATCCTTCCAGATTCCAAAATGGGAGTGAGAGATAGAGCTCACTCTTTTCCCAGCATTCATTCAAAATCTATGTAATTGTTGTAGTTGTATTAGGTGCTGTTGAATCAGTTCTGACTATAGTGACCATATAGTACAATAGAACGAAACACTGCCCAATCTTGCACCACCATCACAATTGTGATGTTTGAACCCATTGTTGCTGCCACTGTATCAATTCATCTTGTTGGGAGTCTTCCTCTTTTTCATTGACCCTCCAGTTAACAAATATAATATCATTCTCAAGGGACTGGTCCCTCCTGATAACACGTCCAAAGTACATGAGACAAAGTCTTGCCATCCTTTGTAAGGAACTTGTAAGGAACGTTCTGGCTGCACTTCTTTCAAGAACATTTGTTTGTTCTTCTGGCAGTTCATGGTATAGTGAATATTCTTTGCCAACACTATAGTTCAAAAGCATCAGTTCTCCAGTCTTCTTTATTCACTGTCCCATTTTCACATTGAAAACTGAAATATCATGGCTTGAGTCAGGCATACCTTAGTCCTCAAAGTGACATCTTTGCTCTTTAATACTTTTAAGAGGTCTTGTTCAATAGGTTTTCCAAATGAAGTACATTGTTTGATTTCTTGACTGCTTCCTTCATGAGCGTTGATTATGGATCCAAGTAAAATGAAGTCCTTGACAACTTCAATTTTTCTCCATTTATTATGATGTTGTTCATTGGTTTAGTTGTGAAGATTTTTGTTTTCTTTACATTGGGTTGTAATCCATACTGAAGTATTTGATCTTCTTGTAACATCACCTCATAATAATGTTAAAAGCACAATTCTAAGCACTTAACCTACAGTCACTTACTTAATCCTCATAACAGTTCTGCAAGGTAGGTGATACTATTACCCCTGATTTACAGATGAGAAAGCAGAAACACAAAGAGGGTAAATAACTGTATAAGGCTGAAAGTTTTGAACCCAGGCACTCTGGAGTTAGAATTCAGGCTCATATCCATGATTTTGGCTAAGAGAGGAGAGATTGAGACATATGTCTAAATAGCAGCTTTCTCTTGCTCTGTTTTACTTATGTTTCCCACCGTCTCAGTCATCCAGACTCAAAAGAGGTGGAGTTTGTCTTCTTTCTCTTCCTGTTTGGTTGGGACCTATTTATATGGAACTCTCTGATAATAGCCCAAAGGGGAAATAAAGAAATTTAGAAAATCCTCTTCTCAACAAAACCTATCAAGAATATTGTCTTGATGGAAAATCTAACTTCAGATGTGAGAAGCAAAATATGAACTATTTCTTTGTCTTTTAATTCCGGTTATGACACTCCCAATCTTTCCCTAGATAAGTATGTATGGATATATATGGCTGGATAGAGCAGAAATCAGAAAAAGAAAATGCAATATGCACTTGAAAAAATTTTTTCAAAACATTTTTTCCCTTTTAATAGCACACTGTTTTTAAAAGGAAACACCTGTAATTGGTTGTAAAAATGGTTTGGGTTGGCAGTCTTTCTGGACATGGGTTCCCCCCTCTCCCCTCCCACTTCAAGTGGAGGATGGTAAGTCATTTATCTACCAGATCACATTGTGACTCTAGACTAGGGGTCAGACATGTACCTGGAAAGAGCCAGCTAGTAAATATTTTAGCATTTGTGGGCTATATAGTTAAGTCTGCTACAACTACTCGACTCTACTATGTATGTGAAAGAAGCCATATATATGTACATGAATGACTATCGCTGCATTCTAATAAAATTTTATTTACAATAACAGGCAGTGGGCAGCATTTGGCCCCATAGGTTTTTATCTACTGATCCCTTTCTTTAGAATATAAGTAGAATTATATTAGAATATAAGCAGAAAGAGAATCTGAAATCCTAGTTGTAACAACCATGGTCCAATTTCCCAGACCAGGACTTTCAAGCCCAATTCTATGCCCTCCTGCATGGATAATCTGTCAAGCACTGTGAGGATATAAGATGCAGGCCCCTGTGAGACAGTGACAAGTGTTTCTGATATTTGGCTGTGAAAATGAAAGCATACCTACTGGGAGGCTGCTAAATCTAGATGGGAAAAGTTTCTATTTCTTCTTATTGTTGGGTGATTTTGTGGTGTGAAACCTGAGTGACATTTTTAGGAAAACTGGTTTTTGGGACTTATATTTCTGAGAACATGCTTGAACTTCTAGTGTGTAAACACTCAGAAAATGGTTGTGGGGGGAACACTATAATGAGACTGTAGGAGTTAGGTAGGAGGAATAAAGAGTTGTAGGACCTTGAAGGAGCCAGCAATAAGATGCTGCCCCAATGTTACCTAGCAGGGAAAGCTCTAAAGTGAGAGCCAAGTGACCTGGGTTCCACTCTGTGCTAAGTCACTGTATGTCCTTAACCAAATCACTCAATGTCTCCAGGTCTTCCATTCTCCTTTGTGAAAAGTCACAATGTCAAATTGGATGATTCTTCTAAGATCTTTCCAGTTCTGAAATTCTGTTTCCAATGTGTGTTTATATTAAACACTTGGTGTCATAGTATGAGGGGGCTTCAAAAAGTTTGTGGGAAAATGGGATCAAAAGATAATGGGATTTTTCCATGAACTTGTTGAAACCCTCTCATGTAACATTTCAGATGTAGGCCTGAATTTTATTGGATAGAAGAAAAGGGGCTACAAATATGTTCCTTTTTGAAACAGAGCAAGAATGCAATACATTTAATTTAATTTTAACAATAAAGTTCTCTCTAATGGAGTATTTATGAAAATAGAAAGTTTTCAGGGAAAATTACCCCCATCTGTTACTAGTAGACATGGAGCAGATCAGATGCACTACAAACAGGATACAGAATTGAGAATAAAGGCAAACTTTGGAAAATGCTTAGGCTCATGTTCACATTAACTCAGTCACTTCTAAACTCACTGCTCCAGGAATCCTGGGAGCCAGTTGGACTTGAATGTGATGTTTTCTGGGCTTCTAAAGATCAAGCTGGCAGTGCAGGGACTGGTGAGGGACCCAGGTTGGCCAAATAAATAATCAAGAATTAGTTTGGATGACCACTATTGACTACCACTCATCTGTCAGTTTGTTGTACTGTGGTGACTTGTGTGTTGCTGTGATGCTGGAAGCTATGCCACTGGTATTTTAAATATTACCAGTATTTTAAATACTACCAGGGTTACCTATGGTGGACAGGTTTCAACTGGGCTGCCAGTCCAAGACAGACTAGGAAGATGGAGAGGCAGACTACTTCTGAATGTTTAGCCACCAAAGACCTTATGAATAGTGCAAAGCTGTCAGTTTGAGCACTAAGGTGCACCTGACCCAAGTCATGATATTTTCAACAACCTCGTATGCATGTGAAAGTTGGACAATGAGTAATGCAGATCTGAGGAGAATTGATGGTTTTGATTTATGGTGTTGGAGAAGAACATTGAAAGTACCACGGACTGCTAAAAGAACAAACAAATCTGTATTGGAAGACATACAGCCAGATGGTCCTTAAAAGCCAGGATGGAGAGACTTCGTCTCTCTGAGTTCAGACATGTTATCAGAAGGGACCAGTCCCAGGAGAACGACATCATGCTAGGTAAAGTGGAGGATCAGCAAAAAAGAGGAAGATCTCCAACGAGATAGATTGGCACAGTGGCAGAAGTAATAAGCTCAAGAGTAATGATTGTGAGGATGGTACCGGTCCAGGCAATGCTTCATTCTGTTGTGCACAGGGTCACTATGAATCAGAACCAACCTGACAGTACCTAACAACAGACCGCTACTGTCCAATAGAGCTTTCTGTGGTGATGGAAATGTTCT